CCCTGCCTGCACTGTGTTCCAGTCACCTTTGTGCCATCAGAGCCGCAGTGAATGTTGGGTGACTAGAGAAGGCAAGAGTCATACCAAGCCCTCCTAACACAGGTGCTGGCACCTCAAGGGCCACCAGAACCCAAGCAGCGCCACTGGGTCTCAGAGCTGACAGAAGCAGGGAAAACAGGAGGCCACCTCTACTGAGTGCGTCCCAGAACTCTCGACATGGACTACATCCACCCACGACTCCTCAAAGCAGCAACCCGAAACTCACTCTTCAGAGCAGAAGTGGAGAAATGCAGTCACACCTCAGAGTGGCAGAGCTGGGATTCAAACTCGGCCTTCCGACTCCAGGGGCCACAATTAACCACGACACTATCCTTCTAGAAAGCTGCGGAAGGATCCCTTCCTGTCTTAGTGGTGACAGTGTCCATCAGCTTGGTCTCTGATGCCCAGCAGCTTAACATCCCAGCTCCATTACCGGGTGGCCTAAAGCCAAGACATTTCTCTAAGCTCAGCAGTGGTGCCTGCGTCATTTGGAAGGTTTGCATAACAACACTGCCCCCTGGTGGCCTCCCGGGCCCACGTTCCAAGGCTGAGCACAAGAATGCAGCAACACTGGCTCTCAACCGTGTAGGGGCTCAGGGCTGTGTCTTCAGTCACAGGTCCAGACACGGGCCCTCAGAGGGCACAAGTTCATGAAGGATGCCATGAACGCTTTCCCATCAAAGGACTACATATCCCAAATCAGACAGGAATCTACAATACTATACAACCACACACTGAACAGTACAGTGTACCCAGCAGACTGGCCGAGGCTGAAAAACCTGCAGGTGTTCCAAACACAGCCTCATTTTACTCCTGCTGAGTGGCCCATGAGAACTAGGCCCAAACTGGCCAGCTCACCACTGTCCATACTGCAGCACTGTCTACCAACAGCTCAAACTGTGGTGTGTTCTCCAAGGCCGAGCTCCACGGACTTTAAAACGTGCTCTAGATGTATGGAATATGATCCAGAACCAATGGTACTGAAGGAAGAAGTTGAAGCTGCACTGAAAGAATTGGCCAAAAACAAGGCTCCAGGAATTGACGGAATACCCAGTGAGGTGTTTCAATAAATGTATGCTGCACTGCTGACACTTACTCACCTGTGCCAAGAAATCTGGAAGACAGCTACCCGCAAGACTGACTGGGAGAGACCCCTATCTGTACCCATTCCGAAGAAAAGTGATCCAACAGAATGTGGGAATTATCACCAGAGCCCCTGTTTGATCATTACTGAAGATAATTCAAAAATGGTTGCGGCAGTATATTGACAGAGAACTTCCAGAAATGCAAGCTGGATTCAGAAGAAGACGTGGAATGAGGGATATCATTGCTGATGTCAGATGGATCTTGGCTGAAAGCAAAGAATACCAGAAAGACGTTTGCTCTTCTTGTTGTCAGGTGCCGTCAAGTTGACTCTGACTCATAGTGACCCTCTGTACAACAGAACAAAACACTGCCTGGTCCCGTGCCAGCCTCACGATCCTTGCTGTACCTGAGCCCATCATTGCAGCCACTGTGTCAGTCCATCTCATTGAGGGCCTTCCCCTTTTTCATTGACCCTCTACTTTATCAACCATCATATCCTTCTCCAGGAAATGGTCCCTTCTGACAACATGACCAAAGTAAGTAAGACAAAGTCTGACCATTCTTGCTTCCAAGGAGCATTCTGGCTGCACTTCTTCCAGGACAGATGTTAGTTCTTTTGTCAGTCCATGGTACTTTCAGTATTCTTCGCCAATACAACTCAAAAGCACCAACTTTTCTTGAGTCTTCCTGATTCGTTTTCCAGCTCACATGCATATGAGGCAACTGAAACTACCGTGGCTTGTGTCAGGCACACCCTAGTCTTCAAAGAGACATCTTTGCTCTTCAGCACTTTAAAGAGGTCTTTTGCAACAGATTTCCCCCTTCAATACATCATCTAATGTCCTGCTGCTTCCATTGGTGTTGATTGTGGAACCAAGTAATATGAAATCTTTGACAACGTCAATTGTTTCTCCATTTATTGTGACGCTGCTTATTGGTCCAGTTGTGAGAATTTTTGTTTTCTTTATGCTCGGATGTAATCCATAGTGCAGACTGTAGTCTTCAGTTTTCATCAGTAAGTGCTTCAAGTCATCCTCACTTTCAGCAAAGTTGTGTCATCTGCATTTCACAGGTTGTTAGTGAGTCTTCCTCCAATCCTGATGCCATGTTCTTCTTCATATCGTCCAGCTTCTCAGACTATTTGCTCAGCATACAAATTGTTTAAGCATGGTGAAAAGATACAAACCTGACACACTCCCTTCCTGATTTTAAGCCATGCAGTATCCCCTTGTTCTGTTCAAACAGCCTCTTGGTCTATGTACAGGTTCCTCGTGAACACAATTAAGTGTTTGGGAATTCCCATTCTTCTCACTGTTATCTACTGTTATCCATCGAATGCTTTTGCATAGTCAATAAAACACAAGTAAGTATCTCTCTGGTATTCTTTGCTTTCAGCCAAGATCCATCTCACATCAGCAATAACCCTTGTTCAACACCTTCTTCTGAATTGTTTGCATTTCTGGAAGTTCTATGTCAATATGCAGGACTCATCTGTCAGTTTGCTGTCAGTTTGTTGTCCTGGGGTGGCTTGCGTGTTTCTGTAAGGCTGGAAGCTATGCCACTAATCCAAATAGATCTTTGTGTTTTACTGACTATGCAAAAGCATTCGATGGTGTGGATCCTAACAAATTATGGGTCACACTGAGAACGGGGATTCCCAAACACTTGATTGTACTCGTGAAGAACCTGCACACAGACCAGGAGGAAGCAGTGGTTCAAACAGAAAAAAGAAAGATACCGCATGGTTTAAAATCAGGAAGGGAGTGTGTCAGGGTGGTATCCTTTCAGCATATTCAGTCTGTATGCTGAGCAAGTAATCCAAGAAGCTGGACTATATGGAAAGTGTGGCATCAGGATTGGAGGAAAACTCATTAACAAGCTGTGATATGCAGATGACATAACTTTGCTTGCTGAAAGTGAAAATGACTTGAAGCACTTACTGATGAAAACTAAAGACTACAGTGTGCAGTATGGATTACCCCTCAACATAAAGGAAACGAAAATCCTCACAACTGGACCAATAAGCAACATCACGATAAATGAAGAAAAGATTGACATTATCAAAGATTTCATATTAGTTGGTTCCACAATCAACACCAGTGGAAGCAGCAGTCAAGACATGAGACGATGCATTGCACTGGGCAAATCTGCTGCAAAAGACCTCTTTAAAGTGCTGAAGAGCAAAGATGTCTCTTTGAAGACTAAGGTGCACCTAACCCAAGCCACGGTATCTTCAATTGCCTCATATGCATTTGAGAACTGGACAATGAGGAAGACAGAAGAGTTGATGCTTTTGAGTTGTGGTGTTGGTGAAGAAAGTTGAGAGTACCATGGAAGTCAGAACAAATCTGTCCTGGAAGAAGTGCAGCCAGAATGTTCTTTGGGAGTGAGAATGGCCAGACCGTCTCACCTACTTTGGTCATGGTCAGAAGGGACCATTCCCTAGAGAAGGATGTCATGGTTAATAAAGTGGAGGGTCAATGAAAAAGGGGAAGGCCCTCAATGAGATGGACTGACAGAGTGGGTGCAATGATGGGCTCAGGTATAGCAAGGATTGTGGGGCTGACAGAGGACCGGGTGGTGTTTCATTCTGTTGTACACAGGGTCACTGTGTCAGAATCAACTTGATGGCACCTGACAACATAAACATATACACAGAAAGGCCTTCCCAGTTTGAGGAAGCCACAGCCATCAAGTTGATTCAGACTCACGGTGACCCTGTAGGACAGGGTGGAGCTGCCCCATAGGATTTCCAAGGCTGCCATCTTCAGATGCAGACTGCCACATCTCCCTCCTGCAGAGCACCTGGTGGCTGCAAACAGCGACCTTCTGGCTGGCAGCCAAGCACTTTAACCACTGTGCCACCCAGGTGCCCTCAGTTTGAGGAAAACTGGTTCAAAAGCTAAAGTTTCTTTTATTTCAAGATTTTTCAGTTTTAGCTGCTAATAAGCCTCCTGACCCTCCGAGAAAGGGACACAGCACGCACAAATGTCTGCAACACACACTGCCAACCCGGCACACCTGGAGGACTCGTCCGCCAATAATATGGACCACTGTGCCTTGGGCCATGCACCACCCCTCCCAATTAACACCTCCCTTTGCCCCACGGTCCCTGCAGTTAACACCCTGCTTCTCAGCTGTCCTTCCTGGCTCCATTTCTCTAGTCCCTGCCTCCCACCTTACCTTCCACTCTCCCAACGCACTCCATGCCAGTCCCGACACTCCACTGGGACTGCCCTTGTCTGGGGTTCTGATGACCTCCCTGGCCACAACCAATAGGCACCCAGCCTCCTTCCTATTCCTCTATCCGCCTCACTCATCCTAGCCGCAGAACCTCCCTGCTCCAGCCCCTAGTCGTTCAGGCTGCCACCTAATGGCACACTTGGGGGGCCCTTTCTAATCACCCAGTCTGACTCCTTCCCTGCCCCTCATGCTGACCTTTGCTTGTCCCCTTATCTTTACTGGCTGCCTATCCTGGAAGCAGCCCTGCTTTTCAGCACCCAGTCAGTAAAACCTTGACTCAAGCCAGAAGGGAAGACGTTTTGTATCACCTACAACCCAAGAATGCTTCCCACTCCACTCCTCGTTCCTCCCCAGCAAAACAAGGGTCCTCGTCCTTGGACAGCCCCCTTCCCATCAGGCTTATGTGAGCATCCAACCTCCTGGCCTCCAAAACCCAAGCAGAAGGCCTGCAAGGGCATGGCAGAGCCCCTCCCAAGGTGCTTACAGATTTGTTGTTATTTCTGCTGGGCAACCAAAGTAAACGAACGCTGAAGAGAAGCTGTGAAGGGGAGGCAGGCAGACCCTTTGCTCGCCCTTGACTTTCCTGGCCCAGGGATTCCCGGCAGACGGACAGACACGGGGAGATGGCTGTGTTTATTGTGTTCTTTTTTTAATGAAACTAGATCACTGCTTACAAAACCCTGCACGCACCCTCATGCCACCCCTTCACAGTTCTCCTGGAGCACCCCCTCCCATCTCGCAGGAACTGGAAAAAAGTGGGTGTCGGACAGCCAGCACCCCCAACTCAACGAGTGCCATGGGGAAACACTTTCTGCTCCAACCGAGCCTACAGAGGGTGACAGTTCTGTCCACGTCCGTTCCCGTGGGGCCTGGAGGTCACATGGCTTAGGGTGGCCTGTGCCACCGTGGCTCTCAGGCCACCACTCAGACCAGAGTGAAATGATATGAATGTCCCGCCCCATAGATCCCCCTCCCCGTAGTAGTCTCTCCCCCCCAACCCCAAACCCTAACTCTACCCCACTACTGAGATGCAGCCCAGATGTGGCAGGAGGCACTGGGCCTACAGACTGTAGAATTTGAGGCTCCTGTCCATGCCTGTTGAAGCGATGAACTTGGCATGGTGGCCAAAGGCCACTCCTGTGGTCAGGCCGCTATGTTCTGTGGAGAGAAAAGGGGTGACAATGAGAAGGCTTCTCTGTGTCCACTCCAAGCACTGGGCCTGACACTGGCCCCCACTCCAGGCCCCCCGTGCCCATCTTCCCCCATCTCTCGATCCGCTTCCCCAGCCACTCGACTCCCAGGACAGGGTTCTCTTCTGCCTACTTTTTTTTCTTATTGCTGTTTTAAATGTTTATTTCAGACTTGGGATTTCAGTACTGTGGTTTTTTAGGGGGGTCCAGTTCTACGTATTGTTTTTTTAACACTTTATTGTTTAAGTGAAAGTTCACACAGCAAATTACGTTCCCATTTACTAACTTATACACAGCTACTTCTCTGACACTGGTTACTATGCCCACGGTGTGTGAACACTCTCCCCGTTTCCACCCTGCTTCCCTGTTTTCGTCCCTCTAGTTTCCCTGCCCCTCCCTGCCTTCTCATCTCTGCTTTTGGGTGAACAGTGACCATTTGGTACATGTAGTAAACTGTTCTAAGGAGCATGTCCGTGAGGGTGTTAGTGTTGTATAGGCTGATCTATTATTTGGCTGAAAGGTGACCTCCACGAGTGGTTTCAGTTCCACATTAAAAGGGTGTCTTAAGGTAACAGTCTTGGGAGTTCCTCTAGGTTCTACCAGTCCAATAAGTCTGTTTTTTTAAATTGTGGTTTGAGTCAAAGTTTACAGAACAAATCACTTTTCCATCCAACAATTTATATACATTTTGTTTCATGACATTGGCTCCAATCCCCTCAAGGTAACAGCACTTTTCCCACTTCCTCCCTGGGTTCCTATTTCCGTTTGTCCTTCCTTGCTGACACTTCCTGCCTTCTGGGCTGTTTTGCCAGGCACCATTAGTCCTTCTGGTCTCAGGCTAGAGGCGGCTGTAGTTTGCGTGGCCATTACTGCTATGGACTGATTGCTTCCTTGACCCTCTGGTTTCCTTCACTCTCCTTTGCTCCAGACGGGAATAGACCAACAGTTGTATTTAGATGGCTGCTCACAAGCTTTTAAAACCCCAGACGCTACTCAAATCAGGAGGCAGAACATTATCTCTGTGAACTATGTTATGCCAACTGACCTAGATGTCCCCCGAGACTGTGGTCCTTAGCTTTCAAGCCCAGTAATTCAGTTCCAGGAGGTGTCAGGGTACATCTAAGAAGTTTCTATAATTGTGCCCCCTATGAGTTCTATCATATGAACAAGAATATATACAGGGCACAAATATGAATGCCCACAACTATACCCACATATGCACACACATAAACTCCATACGCCCTCCCGCACCTACACAGCACACGTATCTACTTCTGTAATTGTTCACAAAGTTTCGGTGGCCATCACTGCTGTAGGACCAGGTTACAGCACTCACCGTATTTGTCCTTTATTTCTGTGTACCTCTCAGTGCCTTCAGGTACCTTGGTCCCATTGCACTGACTTTTCCCCATATTTTCTTATCACTGCATAATATTCCACTGTACGTATGTACCACATTTTGTTTATCCATTTACCCACCGATGGACATTTAAGTTGTTTCTGTCTTTTTGCCATTGTGAATAATGCTACAATGAACATGGATGTGCATGTCCACTTATGTCATGGCTCTTAAGTCTCTAGGATATATACGTAGGAGTGGGACCGCTGGATTATATGCTATATCTAGTCTTAGCTTTTTAAAGAAGCCTCATACCATTGTCCACAGGGGTTGTACCATTTCATAATCCCACCAGCAATATGTAAGAGTTTCAAGCTCTCCACAACTTAGCCAGCATTTGTGATTTTCTGGTTTTCTGACCAGTACAATTTTTGCAGGGATGAGAGGGTATCTCACTGTAGTTCTGATTTGCATCTTTCTAATGGCTAGTGATCACAAGCATCTCTTCCTATGTGTGTTAGCCACATTAACATCTTCTTTGGTGAAGGGTCTGGTCATGGCCTTTGCCCAGGTTGTGAATGGACTGCCTTTCTACTGAAGTGCTGAAGTTTTCTGTGTATTACAGAGATTAGACCTTTAGCAGATATGACCCACTGCTCCCCTGTAAGTCAGTTCTGACATAAGTCCAATACGTTTTTTTTTAATTCTCATTTCAAAACACACCAGTGTTTTGAACAGTAAATCATAAAACTGAACATCTGTGAGTGAATGCCTGAGAACGTGCTGTAATGCTGTATGTAATACTTATTAATGATAAGATACACCAAAAAAAAAAAAAAAACCCAACAACAAATGATGATCATAAGTATGGTTTGCTGTAACTTGAATACATCGTTAAGTGGGGGACTATTTGTATACACACATATACATATAAAAAACACTGCCAGCAAGTCGATTCCAACTCATAGTGACATCCATTGGGTTTCCAAGGCTGTAAATCTTTATGGAAGGAGATTGCCTCATCTTCCTCCCACACAGCAGCTAATGGGTTTGAACCCCTGGCCTTTTGATTAGCAGTCAAATGTCTTACCCATTACACCACCAGAGCTCTTTGTATGTATATATGTGTGTGCATGTGTGTGTACATGCATGTACATGTGTGTACATATGTGTATGCACACATACACACACACACACTTTTTTTTTTTTAAATACTAATTTAAGCCTCACAACAACCCCACTGAGTAGGTACATCACCAGTCTCATTTTCCTGAGGCTCCAAAGAGACTAAGTAACTTGGCAGGGTCATACAGCTTGAAAGTGTTGGGAGCTAGCATTTAAAGCCAAGCAAAAGGACTTAGCCACTATACTCTACTGCCTCAGATAGTGGCTAATAAAAGCTGCCTAAGCACATCTATCCCTCCCCCTAAACTCCCTCAGACCCGGCCACTGAGGCCAGGCTCATACCTGTAAAGTGAAGAATCTCGGTCCACTGTTTGCAGATATAGATCTGGACATCTGTGCCCCCGAGGGCCAGGTAGGTGCCGCTCTGGTCAAAGATTAGTGACTTCACCTACCAGAACAGGAGAGAGAGGAGTCACACCTGGGGACCGGAACTCTGGGGCAACTGGGGAGAAGCAGAGGCAGCTCAGATTAATTCAGGGACCGACTGACAAACGAGGAGAGGTGGCTGAAACGAGAGGGGAGGGCCCACACCTCAAAGTTGTTGTCCAGCTGCAACGTCTTGAAGTTTTTCAGCTTGCGCAAATCCCAGAGCTTGACGGAGGAGTCATCAGCTGCTGTTGCCAGGTAGTAGCCATTCTCAGAGAAGGCAATGCTAGTGATGGGGCCTGAGTGGCCAGGGAAGTTGGCCACATTGGTGCGCTCCTACAGTTGGGGGGTAAAGTATGTCACCACTGGCTCTGAGAGCAAGAAAGAAAATGGGGCTCACTGAACTCCTACCTCTGAGACGTCTTTCTCAGGGAAGGATGACAAGCAGGAGCAACAGGGGTGGATGGGGCAGCCCAGACCCCCCAGAACCCTAACTACCACATCACACACACCTAGAACTAGCGTCTCTCTCGTTTCAGGAACCCCCCACCCCAGGGCCAGGTGCCATAAGCACTTAACCAGCCCTGCTTATCCATGAAAACCCCAACCCTGAGCCTCATATGGACAGCTGCCATGTCCCACCTTCAAGTCCCAAATCTTGATCTGAGAATCCATGGTTCCTGTTCCAAAGATGAGTCCATCAGGGTGGAACTGTGCACAGGTAAGAGCTGCAGAGAAGAGGAGATGGGCAGGTAGTCAGGGCCCACTGGGTGAGACTAACAGTAGTCACAGTAGGTTCCCTGTTCCTCACGCTCCCCACTGGGCCCAGCCTAATGCCTGGCACTTAGCAGGTGCTGGTGGCAAATGGATCTTCACAAGAACGAACGAGCAAATGATTAAGGAGAAACAATAACCAGGGGAGGAAAACAAAGAGCCAAGTGCTTCTGGGAGGACTCACAGCAGCCAGAAGTCTCATCTGTCACCTTGGTGAGCACACGTCCCGTCTGGATGTCAGAGAAGGCCCAGTACTAAAAAAGCAGAGACAGTGAAGCTAGTAAGAATGGGAGGCGGAGAGCCTGGTTTGGCAAAATCCTGGCAGAGCTAGCTCCTCCCACCAGAGAGCAAACATTCTCCTCTCAGGCTCTGGGACCACTGGGGTTGGTAAAATGGTCCCTCTTCCCCAAGTGATCAAGCTCAGGACCCTGGCTGGGACCACACCTGGTCGTCGGAGGAGCTCAGGAGATAGTCACCAGTGGCATGAAGGCTGAGGCCTGTCACAGCACTTTCATGGGCCCGAACAACCTGGACACAAGAGGCGTTCGGGACTGACCAAATCCTGATAGTGGCATCTGGGGAGGCAGAAAACACCAGGTCCTGAAAGAAAAGCAAAGAGGCAGGATATCAGAGACAGAGAAGAGTGACCACGGTAATTTTACAAAGAGGGTATGAGACTGGCCACAACTGGCAGCTGCTTCTTTCAGCCACAGCCTCACCACCTCGTGGCAAGACAACTGCAACAGAGCGATCCACCTGCTTCCTGGAGCCAAGTGAGGAATGTGGCTAGAACAATGCAGGAACTGAATATGTAATTTACTTTTATTTTATTAGCTGCATGTAAGCTAACCAAAAGCCAAAGCCCTGGTGGCACAGTGGTTAAAATGCTCAACGGCGAACTGAAAGGCCTGTAGTTCAAACCCACCAGCAGGAGAAAGATGTGGCAATCTCCTTCTGTAAAGACTGTTGTTGTTGTGAAGTGCCACTGAGTTGGCTCCAACTCATAGGGACCCCATGTACAAGTGATGCAACTGCCTGGTCCTGCACCATCCTCACAACCACTGCAGTGTTTGAGCCCACTGTTGCCACTGTGTCGATTCATCTAGCCTAGGAAAGCCTAAAGGGCAGTTCTACTCTGTCTTACAGGTTCATTATGAGCTAGAATCAACTTGATGGCAGTGGGTTTGGTAACAGGATGGTAATGGTTACCATACTGGATGGTGCAGGTCTAAACAGTCACACACCTGGAAGGAGCTGTGAGGTCATGTTCCAGTGCCTTCCACAATTAAGAATTTCAAAAGCAAGCTAATTGTCCAAAAAAAAGAAGAAAAAACTAAGGTGAGGAGAGCTTATATAGTGTTGCCAACCAATTACTCTGGGTTAGTTGTTGTTGTTGTTATGTGCCGTCGAGTCGGCCCCGACTCATAGCGACCCCTCCTTGGGTTTCCGAGGCAGTATCACTACGGAAGTAGGATTGCCCAATCTTCCTTCCGAGGAGTGGCTGGTGGGTTTGAACCGCCAGCCGTCTGGTTAGCAGGCAAGTGTCCTAGCCACTATGCTACCAGAGCTCCCTGGGTTAGTTAGGACATTAAAAAAAACCCCAAAGCAAAAACAACTATCATCTATCATTAACACTACTTCGTAAAAGAAGTAATCGATTCACACCAAATAATGTGGTGCTGCCGTGAGTCGAGATCAACGCTACGGTACCCAACAAGCAGGAGAAGGAACAAGATCTAAAAGCAAAATGGAACCCATGCTTCCAACTCAAATACATTTAATTTCACAAGAAAATCACCACGTTACTCTAGTATTTCTCATTCCCCTGAGGGCCAAGGAAAAGGCTGGCTGCTTGGGAAATACTGATCCAGCCACTGTCCCACAGACCCAGGCCCAAAATGCTGTAGGTTTTAGCAACCCAAATGCCACAATTAATGTCACTAACCTGGTCTATAAAGAACCCTGGTGGCACAGTGATTAAGCACTTGGCTGCTAACTGAAAAGTCAACAGTTCAAACCCACCAGGGAAGATGTGACAGTCTGCTCCCATGAAGATTTACAGCCTTGGAAATATACGGGGCAGGTCTACTCTGTCCAACAGGACTGCTATGAGTCAGAATCGACTTAACAACAATGAGTTTTTTAATCTGGTGTACTGAGTTACCTTTACACTTTAAATCAGAAGTCAGTGTCAAGTTTGTGCCTCCCACCCTGGAGGATTATGGTAACAAGGATTCATCTTTGTCAGACACCTGTGAGTCAAGCTCTTGTTCAACTTTGTTGTCTGCAGTTTGTGTTATGAACGCTAGGATTTTTCCTTCTCCTGACCTGAAATATCTCACTGAACATGCTTTTCCAGGTTAGACCTCCCTTCCCCCCACCTGAAGACCACGCTTTAGGTGACCTGAGGTAAAGGGCGACCCCCAGAATCCCACAGAGGCCATACAGGGCCAGCTCTGCAGCCGTGCAGCTCTTTGTTGGCCCTGCTCCACTTCTCCACCAAAGACACGGAGGGGAGAGGGGACTGGGTGACTGGCTCTGGGACCCTGAGGCACTGAAGCAGGGCTCCAGAAGGAGGAACTGAAGGTGGTCAACGACACCCTTACCTGGGATGGGTGAAACACCACACTGGTGACTTTCTTGGTATGGCCCTTGAGGGTGGCCAAGATTTGCTCGGAACTCTTGTCAAAGACGACCACATTTTTATCCGCCCCACCTGGAGAAGATCCAAGGGAGACAAATGGTCAGACCCACCCAGGTCCCTCTGCTGAAAACAGCACCTTCATCCCAGGCATGAAGAGAACAACGATCATGTGCCTTCCCCGGCCATGCCCACCCCCCACAGCCCACTGCGGCCTGCTGGGTCAGGCCCAGACTCTCACCAGTGAGGATCTTGTTGGTGTCGGAGGGGCAGAGGTCCAGGGCAAGGATCCCTGGAATGCTGGCACTGTGCAATCCCTTTGCAGAGAGAACCAAATCCAGCCCAGTCACGGCCAGAAGCCACACAGCTCCCCCTCTGCGTCCCTGGCCAGCCACCCACCCCCTCCAGCCCAGGGTAAGCAGTTCCTTCTGTGCCTTCTCATCCCGCCTGGCTTTCTGCCTGACGACAGAGCTCCCTCACTGCATCTCTGGGAGACCCAGGGCCAGGCAGGCAGAGAAACCTTGACAACTCAGCATCTAGAAACAGGGCCAGAGGCCCCAGACAGCCTTCAACTCGCCATTCTCCGTGCTGGCCTGCCCGCCCCAGAAACACCACGGGAGGGCCCTGCCTCCAGTCACTGGGAAGCCGGCCACTCACCACGTGGGATGCCACCTGCCGGTACTTGCTCAGCTCTTCTGGCTTCACCAGCTCCTCAGGCACAGTCTTCCCTCTCTGAGAAAATGACAAGCCCCCCAAGAAAAGCGGCAGTGAGTGCAAGCATCAGCCACCCCTTTTTCCTAAGGGTGTCAACCACTTCCCACCAGGCCAACTCTCCTGGCTCTAGAAGAGGACTCACCTTCTTACGCTCCGTGGTAAGCACCGTGGCCTTGTCTTGAAGCTGGGGAGGAGAGAGGACAGGCTCAATGTGAGACAAATGACCCGGCCAGGACAATGACCTCTGGATGCTGATGACATCTATGCTTTCACAAGCATCACAGAGAACTTGTTATCCACCTACTTCTATGCCAACGGCTGCCATGCATTCTCTCTTTTGACTTTCACCCCAACCTTAGGAGGTGGGTATTGATGACCTTATTTCACAGGTGAGGAAACTGAGCCTCAGAGAACTATAGTCACTTGCTCAAAGTCACACAGGTGATAAATGGCAGAGCAAGGACATCAACCAGCTGTAGAGCTCCCGGGCCTGGTCTCTGTACATGACAACTAAGATGAGAGCTGAGGGGCATGTGGACACAATCTGAATTGCCTGGAAAAGAAACGACCACGCCCCACAAATGAGGACTCCGTGAGGGTAACGGCAAGCACTGGACCTGGAGTCAGGAGGGCAGCTCTGTCTCCGAGGAGCTCCACTGAGCCTTAATTTCTTCATCAGTAAAATAAAGATGATGATTCCTCTCCTGTCCCCCTCACAGAAGAAACATGAAACAAAACCTACACCCATTGCCTCTAAGTTGACTCTAACTTCTAAAGACCCCACAGGACAGAACAGAACTGCCCCATGTGGTTTCTAAGACTGTCAATTTTTATGGAAGCAAACTGCCTCATCATTTTCCCAAAGATGGCTTATGGGTTCAAACTGCCAACTTTGCAGCTAGCAGCTGAGTGCCAAACCATTGTGCCACCAGGGCTCCTCTGTCTATACAAAGGTCTTCAGTGTCTGCAAAGAACTCACACAACAATAAGAGCTAAATGTTACAGGGAACCAGAATGAAATCTTTTAAATTCCCACAATGAGCCTAGAAAGTAGGCACTATTATTCTCACTTCAGAAGCAAGGGAGATGAGCCACGGGAGGGGCTGGTTAAATTAGCCCGGAGTCATAAAGCTTCCAAGAGGTGGCATCAAAAACACAAACCCATGCCATCTGGTCCCAGAGTCTGTGCTCTGCACCACCACACGCTCCTGCCAGATGTACACGGTTTTACTCAAAGCACACGGCCTCAGGGCCTGTCAGCACTCCCACCAAGCGGGAGCAAGACTTACCTTCTGGATAATTTCCGGAGTCATTCCCACCAGCTCGCCCAAATCCATTGGCTCACCGGCACCCTGAAGAGAAGAAAGAGGAAGGTGAGAGAGGCCGAATGCCTACGACACTGGCATGAGAGAGCTACGAGGGCCACTGCACCCAAATGGGCTGCAGGCAAGGCTGGGGAGTCACTCACCACGACGCTTGGCTGTGAGCTCGGCACAGCCTGGGGCACGATGAGGCCTGCCTGCGGTTTCAGGGTGGCCAGCGCTAAGGAAGAAGGTAATGTTAGCAACGGGCGAGGGCAAAGCAGGACCAGCGCAGAGTGGGGGAGGGCAGGGGAGAGACTGCACCTTCTCGGGCAGCAGTGACCTCCTTGGTGAGACGGGCAATGACACGGCAGGCGGCATCGTGCTGGTACAGAGCGTGGGACAGCTCCTGGCGGGTGGTCTGCAGCTGCTGGCGCAGAGTGAAGCTGTGCAGCATGACCGCATCCTGGGAGAGAGCAACACCACCATGAGGGACAGGGAGGGGCCGAGAGCAGCCAGCAGGAGAGGCCCGGCCCTTCACCAGGAGACCCTGCTCCCCGCCCAGTCCAGACTGGGATCAGTAATCACACTGTGTCTGAGTGACCCTGGATGTCCTGGCAGACACTCCATCCCCCACTAAATGCTGGGCACACGGACAAGTGTCAGCCAGCTCTTTCCCACTCCCATCTTCTCTAATTTACCAGCAAATCACAGATGTCATACTGTCACCTCACCAAAAAGGACTAACTGTCGCTGTCATTTATTGTTACCCCTCTTGTGTCAGGCACCATACCAGAAGGTCTCTCAAGAAGGATCCATTCAGATCTACAGAGTACCTACTACTGTCAGGTGCTACCCTCTGGACTGGAGATACATTGATGAAGAAAACAAGTCCCTGCTTTCACGCTTATTCTCTATAACTGCTTTTTAACCTCGTAAAACCCTGAAATACCAATACTAAAATCTCCACTGTGTAGTCAGAAAAACCAGGACTCGGAGGCTGAGCAACATGCCTGGGTCGCATGGCTAGTAAGCAACGAACCTAAGTCTGGAACTCAGATCTGTGTGACCTTCAACAGCCCCCTCCTCCTCCCACATCATTCAGGCCCTGGAAGAAGAAGACAGTGCTTCAGCCTTTCCAGTGCCCAGACTAGCCCAGGGAGACAGCTCTTCACGTGGAAAAGACACTGAATCCCTCGAGGACACTCACCCACTCATCTTGCAGAGCTTTCAGAATGGCTGGGATGCTGGTGGCAGAGGGAGGCTTCGGCCGGATTGGGTGAGCAACTGCCAAGAGGGAAAAGGGTGTGAAAAACCAACACCTCTTCCTGTCCCCCACCTCTTTCCGCTCAGCCCACATTAACAGACTGCAATCTCCTCTTCCAATGTGCTGGCACCACCTCCCACCCTCTCAGGCTCTGCACCGAGAAGGCCATGGCCTGAGCCTGGCCAGTGGGCACCTTTGATGTCGATGAGCTGTTCCTCAGACAGAGGCTGGTTGTTGATGGGGTCTGTGCCATTCTCTGCAATGTACTTCTCAATGAGCCGTCGCTCGTAGACATGATTGGAGACAGGGGACACACATGGATGCTCGGGCACTTCATTAGAGACTGCAAAGAAAAGGCAAGCAGGGAGTGTGGGGTCAAAGGGAACCTCGGACCAAAGAAATCCCTTACCCACTACCACGTCCTTATACTCAACCAACAGGAAACAAGACCTGTGACCCTGGGCCAGTTCTGTACTGCCCCCAGGATGCTTTCCAGTGATGTAACTAGCTTCTCCATCAGTACTCTCCTAATAGTCAGATGCTGTCGTCATTAGGTGCTGTAGAATCGGTTCCAACTTATAGCAACGCTGTGTAGAATAGAACGAGAAACTGCCCAATACTATAAGTAAGGAAAAAGCCAGAGTGTGACTGCAAAAGAAACCATCAATTGATCCTTTGCAAGTTTAAGTTGAAGCTGAAGAAAATTAAACAAGTCCATGAGAGCCAAAGTATGGCATTGAGTATATCTCACCTGATTTTAGAGACTGTCTCAAAATTAGATTTGATACAGTGAACACTAATGACCAAAGACCAGGTAAGTCATGGGGTGACATCAAGGGCATCATACATGAAGAAAGCAAAAGGTCATTAAAAAGACAGAAAATAAAGGCCAAAACGGATGTCAGAAGACACTCTGAAACTTGTTCTTGAAAATAGAATAGCTAAAGCAAGTGAAGAAACAATGAAGGAAAAGAGCTGAACCGAAAATTTCAAAGCTCAACTTGAGAAGACAAAGTATCATAATGAAATGTGCAAAGACCCAGAACTAGAAAACCAAGAGAAGAATATGCTCAACATTTCTCAAGCTCAAAGAACTGAAGAAAAAAATCAAGCCTCGAGTAGCAATACTGAAGGATTCTATGGGCAAATTGTTGAAAGATGCAAGAAGCATTAAAAGAAGGAAGAAATACACAAAGTCACTGTGCCAAAATAACTGGTCCACATTTAACCATTTCAGGAGGCAGCATATGATCACAACCCAATAATACTGAAGGAAGAAGTTCAAGCTGCACTGAAGGCACTGGTGAAAAACAAGGCTCCAGGAATTGATGGAATATCAATCGAGATGTTTCAACAAACGGATGCAACACTGGAAGCACTCACTTGTCTACACTAAGAAATTTTGGCAACTGACTATAAAAGGTCCAGATTTGTGACCATTCCAAAGAAAGGTGATTCAATGGAATGTGGAATTATTGAACAATATCGTTAATATCACACAAAAGTAAAATTTTGCTGATGATAATTCAAAAAAGGTTGCAGCCATATAACAACAAGGAATTGTCAAAAATTCAAACTGGATTCAGAAGAGGACATGGAACAAGGTATAGCACTGCTGATGTCAGATGGATCTTGGCTGAAAGCAGAGAATACCAGAAAGATGTTTACCTGTGCTTTACTGACTATGCAAAGGCAACAACTGTGTGGATCATAACAAATTATGGATAACACTGTGAAGAACAGGAATTCCAGAGCACTTCATTGTGCTCATGCAGAACCTGTACACAGACCAAGAGGCTGTCGTTCAAACTGGACAAGGGGGAACAAAAAAATGAACAAGAGGATGATACCACATGGTTTACAATCAGGAACGGTGTGCATCAGGGTTGTATCCTTTCACAATACTTGTTCAATCTGTTGGACAATATGAAGAACGTGGCATCAGGATTAGAGGAAGACTCATTAACAACTTGTGATGTATGCAGATGACACAGCCTTGCTTGTTGAAGGTGAAGACGACTTCAAGCACTTACTGATGAAGATCAAAGACTAGAGTCTTCAATTTGGACTACACCTCAACATAAACAAAACAGAAGTTCTCACAACTGACCAATAAGCAGCAGCAAGATAAACAGAGAAAAGACTGAAGTTGTCCAGGATTTCATTTTACCTCCATCCATAATCAACACCCATGGAAGCAGCAGTCAAGAAATCAAATGACGTCTTGTACTGGGCAAATCTGCTGCAAAAGACCTCTTTAAAATGCTGAAGAGCAAAGATGTCACTTTGAAGACGAAGGTGCGCCTGACTCAAACCATAATATTTTCAGTTGTGTTCATATGCATGTGAAAGCTGGACAATGCATAATTAAGACCAAATAAGAATCGATGCCTTTGAATTATGATGTTTGCCAAGAACACTCAATATGCTATGGACTGCCAGAAGGCACAAATCTGTGTTGGAAGAAATACAGCTAGAATGTTCCTTAGAAGTGAGGGTGGCAAGACTTTATCTCATGTACTGGGGCATGTTGTCAGGAAGGACTAGCTATCAGGAAGCGTAGAGGAGGGCGTTATACCTGGCAAAGTAGAAGGTCTGACAGTCAACAAATATGCGTTGCAAAACTACAATATACTGGGCACCTAGAGAGTAGTCAGTAATCCCTGCCCATCTCATTTTCAAACAAAAATGGTGGTGGTTGTTGTTGTGCCACGAAGTCGATTCCAACTCATAGTGACTCTATAAGACAGAGAAGAACTACCCCATAGGGTTAGTTTATAGAAGTAGACTGTCACATCTTTCTCCCATGAAGAGGATGGTGGGTTTGAACCTCTAACTTTTCAGTTCATAGAATGCTTTACCACTGTGCCACCAGGGCTCCTTACAAAAATACTTAGGCACATACCAGGTTTACTGGTCTGATAGAGCCTGGTGGAACCCCTGAGACTATGGCCCCTAGCTTCCCTTCAGGTCTGGAATTGAACCCACACCTGTGGCTTCCTGCCAAACAAAAGACAGGCATATGAGTTGAACATGTACCTGAGGTAGATACACTCCTTGGAGAGAACAATCATGGGAGAAAGAAGGGTTGTTTATGCACAAGGAGACAGTTCAGGGGGCAGGAGTGCATGGAGGGATGGACACAGGGAAGACTTAACTATCGGGAGGAAGTGGGAGGGAAGCTGTTGCATTGGGGTAAATTTTAGTCAATGTCATGAGACAATGTGTGTATGAACTGCTGTATGGAAAGTGAATTTGCTCTGTAAACTTTGACCCAAATCACAATAAAAATATAGATATATATATACATATATATATACACACATATGGGAGCTCTGGTAGCATAGTGGCTAAGGCACTTGACTGCTAACCAGAAGGCTGGCGGTTCAAATCCAGCAGCCACTCCTCGGAAGGAAGATGGGGCAATCTACTTCCGTAGTGATACTGCCTAGGAAACCCAAAGGAGGGGTGTCGCTATGAGTCGGGTCTGACTCGACGGCATATAACAACAACAACAACAACACACACACATGTATATACACACATATATATACATATATATATATAAATACTTAGGCATCCGTTGTACTCCAGGAGATGAAAACATGTATGAAGCCACTCAAATCCCTCTGCCCATCTCAGTCTAGAGCCCTAGGTAGATTACCACACAAAGAAACTACAAAGCAACATGACCAGTGTTATAACAACAACAACAAAAAAAAAACATTGAAGTGGTGTTCGTCAGGCACCAAGCATGATTCCAAACACTTTACATTAACTCATCCTCACAGCAACTGCCAGCAGAGGTATCGTTTATATGCCTGCCCAGAGCACAGGACTCCGGCCGGCCTCCGACTCCCGGTACATGCAGATGCCCAGCAGGCAGGTCAGCACCCAACAGATGAGTGACTGAATGCATGAGAGGAAGGAGGGCACTGGGGCAAGAGAACAGAGCACCTTCCAGAGTGACCGAAAACAACAGATGCGACAATAACTCGCAATGTCCTCATACAACCGTCCTTCTTTTTTCTGCCCATCCCCCTGCTTTACTACCCTTCTTAGGTTAATGGTGAGGTTCTGGGAAGAGAAAATGGCTTAAAAGATTGCAAGCAAATAGACAAAGGGATGGGAAACTGGTCACCTGGTGGTAAGATGTGAAGGCAAAAAGTGAGCTTGTCATAAAACACCACAAGGAAACACTGCACAAGGCATGCCAAAAGCGTGCATCTGGGGTCAGAGAACCTGACTCTCTCACCCAGCCCTGCCGCCTACTAGCTGTGGGACCTCGGATAACGCTCTCCATGGGCCTCCCCCTTCCTCAACGGTAAAACCAGCGTATTGATTTCTGCTTCTGTAAAGTCTTGTGACGATAAAATGAGATCGCAGACTCGGAAGAACCGCTGTGAACCATTAGCGGCTCTTCTGTCGGTCCTACCATATGAGGCTAAGAGCCTTCTGAGACCAGCCCTGTCTCTGCCTCTAACTCATCGTGTGACCTTCGCAAACGGCTGAAGCTCCGACTGCCCGAGCGCGACCTCGGACAGCATCCAGTGCAAAGTCCGGAAATGGGGGAAACTGAGGCCCAGAGAGGGGTAGCGACTCGAGCCACATCACAAAGCTAATCGGCAGCGGATTCTGAACGACCCCTCGGGTCCTTTGACTCCCAGGCCAGAGCTGCCTCCCCTGCACCACCAGCTCCCTCCATCCAGGCCGCTGTAAAATGAGGCGGGCGGTTGGTCCCTGTGATCCCTGGAACAACACATCAGAGACGCTAGGGAAATTGCGGAGCACTGCGCAAATGCACCCCGGGCCGAAGAGGGGAGGATCCCGGTGCTGACAGGCCGCCGCTCTATCACCTAGACGCTCCGTTCCCGCCTCCTCCAGACCCCGGTGTCACAGCAGCTCGCGCACTCTTCCTGCTCCGCTCTCCCGCCTCCTGCGACCCGCGATCGGCCGCAGCCCCTACTCACTGGAGCAGATCAGGGACATGGCGCCGTCACTGCGATAAGAGGCGCCTCACACCAGGCTCCGGGACTGGCTTTGGAGCCGCCACAGGCCACTTCCGCTTCCCTGCTGCTTCCGGGACGCTCCGCTGCCAGCGAGGAGTAGCCCCGCCGAGCGATGGTCGCGTAGCGCTTCACGTGGGACCGGGAACAGTCGCGCTCCGCAGCCTTCAGCGCCTAACGGAAACTGCCCCTTCCCACAATGCAACCAGGCAGGAAAGGACCCGCCACGGAGCCCTCGGCTATTTCCGTATTTACTCGTCTCCTTCCGTAAAGCGCCCGGCGTGGTGGGTGGGTGTGGGGGGGGTCTAGAACTACATTTCCCATGATGCACTGGAACTATTAAAGCCACTGCATCGCAGCTACGCTTTTGAGATTCCGTACCGTACTGTCGTGATTCAGAATTTTAATATGCGCAAGAATGTCCTAACGAGCTTGTTATTAAAAGCATATTTCTGCAGTCTGCACTGCAGAGTCTGCATTTTAAGTACGGCCTCACGTGATCGAGGCAGGTGTTTCTCGGACCACCCTTTGAGCAAACACATGCTGGGGGGGCTCTGGTGAAAATGGAGATCAGTAGAAAAACTAACTCTGACCATGAAATTATTCCAGTCTTACATCTGTTACCGATTTGCTCTGTGACCTTGGGCAAGTCGTTGGTTTCTCTGCTGGTTTTCTACACGACTTCTAGGTCACTTCCAGCTCAGATAGTGTAAGGTTCTTTGTGGATCTCTGTAAGATACATACACTCAGGAATCATGTCAGAGACCAGGCGCCGATTCACGTGCGGGCTACAAGGGATCCAGACTAGGAAGACGGTATGACAGATAGCTAAGGTCAATGAAGTCTTCTCTGAAAAGGACTGAATGGGTGGGGCTTTGACTCAACTAAGTCACTGCCATCAAGTTGGATCCGACTAATAGCAGCTCCTCCTTGGGTTTCCGAGGCAATATCACTATGGAAGTAGAATGTGCAATCTTCCTTCCGAGGAGCAGCTGGTGGGTTTGAACCACCACCCTTCTGGTTAGCAGTCAAGTGCCTTAGGACAGGTAGGCAATATTCAGAGGGAGGAAAAACAGCATAACAAAAGCTTGGAGAGAAGATCAAAAGTTACAGGTGTGTAGGGGCATATGGTGTAGTGGGTAGTGGCCAAAAGCATGGACTCTGAAGTCAGACCATGTTCAAATCCCAGCTCCCTCCAGCTAGCGTGCTGTGTGAACTTCTCTAAACTCTTGTTTTCTTATCTGTAAAATCAAGGGAGTATCACAAGGGTAGAACTCACAGGGTTTTTTGTGATGAGTTAATATGCAAAGAGCACTTTAAGCTAAATACAAAATTCATACTCATATTTGTCATTATCTCAGAAGCCAGCGAGATTGCCCAAGCTACCATGATGTGCCCAAGCTCTCCCCTGAGAGAGAGAGCTCCCCAATAATTGGTTTTGTTTCCAGGTTGGCCTCCCTCTAATTCACTTTCCACAAAACAGCCAATGATTTACTTTTAATGAAAAAATCTATTCATGCTCCTCCTCAGGCCTTTCATTTATTCAACAAATATTGATTGGGGTGTGTCAGGCTCTGTTCTGATCACTGCAGATACAAATGAATGAACGAGAAAGACAAGATTCCTCCTCTCTTGGATGCTTCATTGTCTTGAGGGCATACAGATAATCAACACATAAAAAGAAAGTTCCACACTCCAAAAATGAAAAAATAAATTAATTAAAAAAAAAATTTAGAAAGAAGAAAATTCCAGAGAGGGGCTATTCTTGGTTGCCATTGAATTGATTCTGACTCCTGGTGACCCCTTGTGTTACAGAGCAGAATGGCTCCCTAGGGTTTTCTTGGCTGCTGCCATCTGAACAGAAACATATCACCAGGGCTGTCTTCTGCAGTGCTGCTGGGTAGGTCTGAACCGCCAACCCTAGGTCAGGAGCTGAATACAAAACGTTGGTGCCTCCTGCAGAGTGGTGAGGACCATGAGTAAAACAAATCACCGGAGGGAGGGCTACTTTAAGCAAGATACATAGGCAGAGTGTCTCTGAAGGTGTTTTGCTGAGACTTGAATGAGGGAAAGGAGTCAGTCTTGAGAGCAGGAATGAGTGACTCTAGCAGAGGTAACCTGCCCCCAGTCCCGTGCCCACCTGGCTCATGCCAACCTCCACCTTTACCTCGCCTTCTCTCCAGCCACACTGGCCTTTTAAATCCGCAAACTTACCCACCCTAGTCAGGCTCCAGTGTCTGCCTAAAACATGTTCCTCAGATCCTTCCCTTGTTCCCCTCCCCCCAATGCCCTCCAAAGGAAACTTGAGTCTCACCTTAAATGTTAGTTCTTCAGGAGGCCTTTTCCTTAACATCAGGCCAAAGTTTAATCGATTCTGACCCATGGCCCCCTCTTGTGTGTCAGAGCGGAACTGTGCTACATGAGTTTTCAATGGCTGTAATCTTTGGGAAGTAAATCCCCAGGCCTGTCTTCTGAGGTGCCTCTGAGTGGATTTGAACCACCAACCTTTCTGTTATACCTCAGTGTTTGTTTGCACCACTGAAGTCTCTTTTGTTGTTGTTGTTGTTTGCCGTCGAGTCCGCCCCGACTCATAGTGATCCCTCCTTGGGTTTCCGAGGCAGTATCACTACGGAAGTAGGATTGCCCAACCTTCCTTCCGAGGAGTAGCTGGTGAGTTTGAACCGCCAGCCTTCTGGTGAGCAGTCAAGTGCCTTAGGCACTATGCTACCAGAGCTCCTCAAGTCTCCTTTAGTCTCCATCAAAAAAAAAAAGAAAAGAAAAAGAAAAATCCACTGCCATCAAGTTGATTCCAACTCATAGCAACCCCCAGTGGGTTTCCAAGCCTTTAAATCTTTACAGAAGTAGACTGCCTCATCTTCCTCCCGGAGCAACTGGGGGGGTTTGAACTACTGACCTTCTGGATAAGCCCAAAATACCAAACTCACTGCCATCAAGTCAATTCTGACTTATAGCAACTCCCATTGGGTTTCCAAGCCAGTAAATCTTTACAGAAGTAGATTGCCCCATCTTCCTTCCATGGAGTGACTGGTGGGTTTGAACTGCCAACCGTCTGGTTAGCAGCCAAATGCTTTAGGCATCATACCACCAGAGTTCCTTGACTCTTCCCTGAGAGTCACTTCAGATAACTATAATCATTTAATTATTTATAATTACCTGTTTGGTGTCTAGGTTCTCCACTAGACTGTAAACTCTGTGATGACAGGAACCAGGGCTATCCTGGTGCGTGATGTTCCTAGAGTCTATCAGTCTTAACAAGACACGTAGTAGGGGATTCATAAATATTGTTGGTTGAGTGACAGGCCACCTGATGGGCCAGGTATCTCAAGTACTTAGATGTGGTAGGAAATAGAGTGGGTTAGGACTAAGGTGTGCCGGCCCCACACCATAGTATTTTCAATCGCCTCATATGCATGTGAGAGCTGGACAATGAATAAGGAAGACTGAAGAAGAGTTGATGCTTTTGAGTCGTGGTGCTGGCAAAGAATGCTGAAAGTACCACGGACTGCTAAAAGAACTAACAGATCTGTCCTGGAAGAAGTGCAGCCGGAATGCTCCTTGGAAGCAAGAATTGCCAATTGTTTCACCATTTTGGTCATATTGTCAGAAGGGATCATTCCTTGGAGAAGGATGTCATGCTTCGTAGGGTGGAGGGTGAATGAAAGAGGGGAAGGCCCTCAATGAGATGGATTGACACAGTGGTGCAGTGATGGGTTCAAGGATAGCAAGGATCGTGGAGCTGGCATGGGACAGGGCAGCGTTTTTTCTTGTTCTGCTGTGCATAGGGTCACTAGGAGTCAGAGACGACTCAATGGCACCTAACAACAACAACAGGTAAGGTGGGACTGAGAACCAGAGCTGGTTAGACTTGTTGGGTTGGCATTACAACAGTGTCTGATTACATTTGAGCTACCAAGTGACCTAAAGATAACCACATTTCCAGAAGTTCTCTCTGAAACATCTTACTGGATGGGTTGGAGAGAGGGAAACCCACTCATTCATCCAGGGGAGAAATCTTTATTGAGCACCTACTATGTGTCATGTAGGATACACCAGTAAGCAAAACTAGAGACCTCCCTACACTAAGGAACATATGACTGTGACAACAAAACACAGGAGAAACGGTGCCCCTTTCAAGGCTTTAAGGAGCTCTTGTGGCATAATGTCTAAAAGGTCAATGGTTTGAACCCACCAGCTGCTCCGCACATGAAAGGATGAGGTAGTCTGCTTCCATAAAGATTTACAGCCTTGGAAATCCAATGGGGGTCACTATGAACCAGAACTGATTTGGTGGCAGTGAGGTTTTTTTTTTTTTGGTTTTCAAGGCTTTGGGAGCCCTAGTGGCACAGTGGTTAAAAGCTTGACTGCCAACTGTTAGGTTGGCGATTTGCACCTAC